TACTGCTCCTTCACTGATGTCATCAAAATTTTAGAGCTCTCTGCCTACACCAAATGCTGTGCATGGATTCAAAGGAGCAGCTCACCCATCACCTTTTCGAGAGCAATTAGTATTCACCAACAAATTATGATATTTCTAGTGAACTTGAAAATTCACAATTAAAGAAAAACATTTAAAGGTTAAAAAAAAACGAATAAGTCTCTAGTGTTACTGAGGGTCACTGGAACAAACCAAACCCCACTGCTGGGAAGACGGCGTGATCTTCCCTCCAGAGAGTGCAAGAAATGCCAAGCCCATCCCCCTTTACTAGGCCCATCTGGAGTGTAACCAGTGACCCTGAAAATCATAGAGTTGTACAGTACAACAGCACAGAAACGACCCTTCGGTCAAACTCATCCCTGCTGACCAGGTATCCTAAATTAGTCATACCTAATTTGCATTTGGTTGGGATTGACTTGCTGCTTGGTATTGATTTGACAGTATCAAACTTAATAGCAGCCCCAATGGGCTGAAAAGCTGGCTGATATTAAGAAGACTGAACAGCATCAGTAAAAAAAAAGCCTTATGTTTTCCTTGACCATGTGGTCTGTGGCGAGATAAACTCAGCCATTGGAGATGGCACTGCAAACAAAAGACCCTCCGGGGCCTGGTTATCAGATATCTTTTTCAGAGATCTAGAAGGTGCCAAAGAGTTACTCAATAGAACTTCATTCGTCGCAGCTTCACAAGCTGACCCACAGTTAAGAACACTAACTGTGACTGCCTACACGGTAGCTGAGTCAGAAGCAGTCCCTGAATGCTACTACATTAGAAATTAGGGGCTGATGAGGAAATACAAATCCCCTTCACAGAACTGCAAATGGAAAGTGGACAGTGAGCACCAGATAGTGGTGTCATTAGGTACCAGAGGAAAATAGTACAGCTCGCTCATGTGATTCTGATAGCTGAGCATGTCGGTATACACAAAACTCAAGTTCACATCATAGAGTCATATTGGTCTACAACACAGAAAAAGGCCTGTCACCCCATCATAAACAAGCACCTGTTCTCATCCCACTTTCCAGCACTTGGCCTGTAGCCTCGTATAGCCTTATATGCCTTGGTATCACAAATGCCAATCTAAATACTTCCTCAATGTTATGGGGTTCCTGCCTCTGCCACTCTTACAGGCTGTGAGTTCCAGATACCCACCATACCTTTAAATCTTCTGCTCATTACTTTAAATCCATGCCTCCTGGTCATTGATCCCTCCACCTAGGGGAAAGATTCATCAGCCAATGTTTTTAACTGGTCACAGCTCCACAAGGTTGTGGTCAGGTTTTGCAGAACCTGGCACACCTGCCAGGTTATGGGAAGACCCCACCCTGCAATAAGACCTGCAACTATGATTTCCATGTTTGGGGAACTGATAAGAAAGCTGTTCGTGGATTGTGTGAGACCCCTGCTAAAACAAGAGAAGGCTTCCAACAGTGTTCCCTCTAAATTTCTTCCTGGTTGCATGGGCCTTTGAGACTTGTTGTTGAGAGGGAACATTGACAATCAATATAGTCTTCTTATCACGGATATGGCTATCCATTTGCCATATTCTCCTCTCCATATCTGCCAAAATATGATGAGAGAAATGACCCTATTCTTCACCCGGGACAGTCTGCTTATTGAGACCCTTACGGACCATAACTCAAATTCCAAGTTCAAAATATTCCAGGAAATCTTGAAAATCCTGGGTATGACTCAACTGAAATCTTTGGCGTATCAGTTGCATTTAACAGGGGGCACTGGAACAGAGCCACCAGACCTTAAAAACAATGATCAGGGCAAACTGCCACAAGAATCTCTACAGAGATAGTAGGACATGCAGATGCTGGAAAATCTGAGATAACAAGGTGTAGAGCTGGATGAACACAGCAGGCCAAGCAGCATCATAGGAGCAGGAAGGCTGACATTTCCGGCCTAGACCCTTCATCAGATGAAGAAATACTGGAATTCAACCGAAGGCAAAAGGAATCAGAGCTACAGAATCTCAACTAGTCTTCAAATCTAACGATCGTGAAATGGACTACAGCAAACTTTTTATTAACCGGCACCTACGGGACCAGGAATATGCTGGTTGATCAAATATTCCAGACAATCAGGAGGTCCACATAATCAATGTAAAAACACACGCTAAGTAATAGAAATGTAATGGAAGGAGTATACACATCACTGCTTTACTTTATTTACAGCATATATCACTTAAATAATAATGCAACTTTAACTTGAATAAAACTTACCGGCCGACAGCCTCCTCATTTGCACTCTCAACTGACTACTCGGACATCGCTGTATTTGAGGAGAAATTGACTCGACATTGAATCAACTGTTGATATTTCACATGGCCTTTCGATTGAACAACAAGTATATTTACACTGAGGTAAATACATTTTAAAAATTGTAATAATTGAACAGAATAATACAGTAAACTTCACGGTATTTGAGGTATATTCTTTTTGCCGGATTATTGAGAGTGCCAATTGATAAGATGCCGGTTAAAACAAAGTTTGCTGTACTAACTACTAACATCTACACTACCTGTAACCTCCACTGCACTAACCACAAGGTTCAACTCTTGGGTCTTTGCGCATAATTCAGAGTCTGATTCCTATATCTGATTTTGTAATAACTTTTATCTTTTATGCATCTCTTATTTCTGATCTATGTGTATGTTGCATTACTTCTCACATTTTATAATTCATGGAAAGGCTGGTTCAGTTGGCTGTTTCTGAAGTATAGTTTCATTTGGGTCTGATAGAAAGTTATCCACAAGGAAAAGAATTGTTTTTTTAAATCAACCTCATTGCAACCGACTGAGGAGCTGGCTGAATGAAAAAGGGGAGTTAGATAGTCCCTCCTCACCCAGGACCGTAACAGTTTTGAGTATACTATTTGGAACCAGAGTGAATTGGGAAGCCTTACCAGGGTTCTGGATGTAACAAATGCTTGGTGTTCCTGATAGTATTCTCTGGTGCAAGATGCAAGAGTTACCCATCTTTGTGAGCTTGAAACTTGAGCTAATTTGAGGAAAGGCCCAACTACAGGTTGCCTATTTTAGGAAAAGCAGAAACCATGGATGTCACAGCCAACACAAATAAATAAACGCCAGTTTCAACCAGCTGACTTCTGAATGAAAGGTGACAATGTTACCATTGACTTAAAGTTCCAGGTTAGAGGTACCAGAAATTTCACCCAAGGATGATGAAGAAAAGATGGTATGACTTTCTTGGCAGCTTTCCATGAGTTGCTGTACCCTGTCTGGCTGTATTTAAAATATATCCCATGCCATGGCCACGACAAACATATCTACAAACTTGTTGAGTGCCTTCTGAATAAAGAAATATTTTCTGGTTTCTTCTCTGATCTTTAGTAACCTTCAAGCTGTGCCCAATTGTCTTGCTAATGTGATGTACATGAAATATGTTAAGCAGAATTTAATATGGGCATCAGAGGGACCCATTGCCTGCTATAAATCCGATGGCACCTCTGCCAACCTGATCTCTAGTTGTCCCAACAGAATGAAGTTCCTAATTGAGAGTAGGAACTCTGCCCTTGGTATTCCTAGATCTCCCAGGCCTCATCACCCAGGTGATGTATGGGCCTCATTTGACTTCCAGGTGAATCGCTGCCTAGTGTGAACTTAATTGGAGGGACAAAGGAAGGTAATGGGATCTCTGCTATGAAACTTCTTTCCTGATGGCACTGCAGCCCTCTGCCTGTCTGCAAATTTACCCCTGGAGAAGCGGGGGAGATGCTAAATTATACTTATCTCCACTAAGGCATCTTTTGTCCACCACATCTCAACAATTAGTCCTACCATTCTATGGTGGTCTTTTTTTTTAAACCTGGTTCACTTGAGGTGGACCTCACTACCCCTCCTGAAATACTATTGAGAAGGTGATGGTGAATTGCCTTCTGAACTGCTGCCATCCATGGGTTGAAGGGCGCTCCAGCTTCAGGAGCTTAGTTAAATTACCATCCTGTCAATATAATAGAGCTTAAACATGGCCACTGGAATCTCAATGCAGTCAATTTGGCAACATCATCTAGCGTTTTGTCATTTCATGTTTTGAAAGTGTTCACTTTTATAATGGTATCTTGCATTTATTCAGTCTTATGAATAAATGCAAGTCAAGTCAACTTTCTCTGTATATGATGTTTTCAAACGATGACAAGGATTTGCTGATAATTCCATTTATCAAGGTCCCACAAGCAATAAATAAAATTAATGATGATTTGGTTTTGGTTTTCTTGGTTCAGGGAGGAAATTGGGAAAGTTCTCTGCATCATTTGAAATTATAAGGCCTTTCACAGGGCCTGTCTTCATTTCTTATCCAAAATACAGCACTTTCAATAATGCAACACTCTCCCAATGACATAGCTAAATACGATCCATAATTATGAACCCAAAGTCTGTCGTGGCGTTTGAATGTACAACATTTTGAGTCAGAGGTATGAAGACAGCCAACTTTGCCAAAGTGATAAGTAATAGAATTTAATCAATCAATATTTGCAATCACTGAGCTTTTGATGAAATAAAATGACCACAGGGGAAGCATTTTGTAGAGGTCACAGCAAGACAATGCCATATGGTGCTAAGTAGGTATTTTCCATGTTATGTGAATCATAATTTAGAAATATTCAATTGTCACACCTAGAAGTGAGTAACCTTGCTTGTCTTTAGCTTTGCCATGCCTGCCTTACCAAGATAGTTTGTTTTTACTTAAATAGTTTCTTATTATAATGGCATTATGGTAGAGTGTATCATTCTGATGGCTATAGATAACCATTTATTCTTTCTGGCTTGCTTATAGATGATCAATGCCTGCTGCTGTCATATCTTTTGTTTGTTACTGCATCTTTCTCTCCTTTAAACGGCATGTTTGCGCTAAATTTTTTCTGATGTTTGCTAACATGCCAAAACTGCTTACTAACCTTTTACATATTTTGCTTTTATTTTGCTGGCAAAGTTGCAATGATGAAAGCTGACTTGCAAGGTAGATAGCTGTGTGTTTGTACAAAACAAGACTGAAATCCATGTCTGTGCAATATGCATACAAACAACATATATCTGCTTTGGAACTCGATTGCATTCATTTCAAAATTTCAGAATCAGATCAACATTTTGAAAAACAATTTGCCTATCATAGGGCTTTCAGTCTTGAATATTTCTATATCAGTTATTTTAGTATGTTAAACACATTTGTTTTAGACTCTTCCTTGGATTCTGATTTCACTAGTAGCTGTTTTAGAAATGTAAAGTTATTTTGTTTTCATTCTGACATCAAACCTAACCACGTTCCTTTCTTTGTCCAGTCTTCAGTTGCCAGAAAGCATGCAAAAATTATTAGTGTATGACTAATGATGTGCCTAGACCAACATGCAAGGTTTTGTCTGTTCTAACTTAGGACCAAGTACAACCTGCCAAGAGGATTCCTGTGGAAACCAAGGTGTCTGTCTTCAGCAGTGGGATGGCTTCAGCTGTGACTGCAGTATGACATCCTATACGGGAACCCTGTGCAATGACCGTAAGTACATATAAACAAGTGTCATATGGTTGTGATTCCCAAATTTATTGGAATGGTTTTGAACTTTTGACATGACAAGTAATAATGCAGCATGAATCTGAAGGGCTTCTGTAATAGTTCATTGAGTGTGAGATCATTTTGTGAAGACATCGCTATGAAATGTAATGTGAAATGCTGAACCAGATATGATATGCTGCTGATTTCATTATATCTGAAGCTATGAGTGGTGCTTGGTGGAAATATTGCTGAGTGTAATTGACCAGAAGCAAAATATATACGGACTGGCAGATTTCTCTATAGATTCTGAATGGTCACTCTTTGTTTGAGTGTACCTTTCTGATTTGGTGCTTCTTCACTGTATCTTTCTGTGGCATTTCAATGCAAGGTTATTTAAATGGAAGTCTGTGGTGAATGGAAGAAGTAAAGTTAGCGCGGGGAGAATTGGTGAAGTGTACTAATGTGTCAAGTAGGGTGTAGTAAGAAATACTTAGCTTGCTATGATATTGTATCATTGCACTGTTAACTGTTTTCAAAATATCTTTGTCTCAGTTCTGCTTTTATTCTGACTGTAGCCAAACACTTGCCTTTGAAGATGCTGGTCTTTTCTAACTCTCAAGGGCTGATTGTAACTCTAACTGCCAGCAAAACCAAGCACAAAGTTAAAATCATTGGTGGGACCCCATTCTTTCACCCATTTCCCATCCCACCCCAATTCCACAGGCTGCGAGTTTAACTTGCAATTTTGAATTGCAAGTTGAATATTAGCTTTGAACACGCAGGTTGGATCCCAATGATATTGTTCAGGCCTGGCAACTATTATAACCATCAGCCTGAAAAGGCAAGTAGTTGTCCCATCACGGAAAAATGAGCAGGAAGAGGAGTCAGAAGAGGTCAGTAAGGATGCATATTTATTTTACTTTGTAAAAAAAAAATTCATATATATTCATATATGGGCCGGAAGAGCAAGAAATGCTCCACCAAGCCTGCAAAGAAAGGTTGGGTTTGTTTACCTAGTGCTTCATCAGCTGATCAGTTTACCTAAACCCTGGGGTTTATTTGGCCAGCTATCAAAATCTGTCAATGCTCATTGGTTACTAGTTACAGATAAGGACAGAATTTAATGCCCATGAGGTGGGCATTCAGGTAGTAAAGGTATTTAATTAGGTGGGAGAGTGCCAGTTGAGGACCCTGACATCTTCCTGCCTCTGCCACAAATGGGTAACTTTTACAGGAAGGCTTGCGGATATCCTTCCTGCCCTGATGCCAGCTGTGCCACAGCTGCTGCTACTCAACCACTAGCAGGCAAGCCAGTCACACAGGGAGCCCAAGAAGCAAGTTTGGTTGCAGTCGGCTGGTGGGATCCTTTATACAAATGTACAGTGTATGTTTGAGGGACTTGGCACCAGGAAAGGGAGGCCCACTGAGAGTCAACCCCTGCACCACTTCTCCTCCCCAGCCAGTGTCTCCCTCTCTGCCTCCCCCATTCCATTCCATTTCCCTTGTGGTCTCAGTCTCTCACTGCTCCTGGGCTGCAGTAGATGCATTGCTGGTGACTAGCATTGCTCGTCCAGTGGTGAACCTCTGATTTTGGTTCCCAAAGCCCTTTCATCTCAGGGAATGCCTATCACTGACTTTGCATATGCTTAACTGACATTTAATAAGGCAGGCCGTCCCCAAGAATGGTAGACCAAAAGCTTTTGCTCACTTTCCATTGCTGGCAAGACTTCTGATTAAATCCTAACCTGGAAATCTGCAGATAAAGCCCAGAAATATCCTCGGGCTCACAATTCCAAGGTATCTTGATGCATCCTGCATTCACTCATCCTGTGCCCTGAGGTAAAATATGTATTATTCTGCTAATTTTACCTAACCCATCTAGTAAAAAAAACAACTATATTTACCCAGTACATTAATTAGCTTTGTTGAACACTCTAATTATCTTGCACCTAAGGCCCAAAAATCATTTATATCTTGCTCTACATAGTTACAGTGCAGTCACGTATTTCCTGCAGTACGTACAATTGGGTCTCTTCTTTCAGAAGCAGTGAAATACAATGTATTGTATTTTCAGAGTTTTCAACGCTTCAACATCACACTTTTAGTTCTTAAGCCTTTTCATGTCCTTTTTGCTCGATATAAAATTTTCTCATGTGAAATTCAATATTCCTGAAACTTAGTTGTCACTTTAACATGTGCATTTGAAATTGTTAGAATCATGGATAAGACATGACCTACTCTGATAACTGTGCAGATTATTAAAGAAGACGATCACAGTATATTCAGGTAATAAACATCTATTATCAAAAGTAGTTGCATAAACCATAAATTGGGGAAGTTGATACAAAATTCTGAAATGAAATTAAATATCCACCTTTTCAGAAAAAGCTCCACATGCAAATTATGCAATGGTGTCATTAAATTACTGATCAATCTTAGGATTTGTTACTCATTAAAAGAATCATTACAAAACAGTAACTGCTACAGAGATGTTAGGTGCAATGTTGAAGCCTTGCAATCTCTGAAAGTACAATACATTTTATTTCACTGCTTCTGAAAGAAGAAACCCAATAGTACATACTGCAAGAAACAAAAGACTGCACTGTAACTGTGTAGAGCAAGATATAAATGATTTTTGGGCCTTTGGTACCTTTGGGAAAGATAATGAGAGTGTTCAACAAATTTACTTAATGTACTGGGTAAATATAGTTGTTTTCTTTTTGACTAAATGAGTTAGATAAATCTAGGAGAATAATACATATTTTGAAACAACCATAATATATTACATAAATATTTACAGATCTGTTACTTCTTTGGAAAAGTAAATTATTTTGAATTAAAGCCTAAATTTACAGGCTTACTAAAGGAATACTCAGTAGAATCTATAAGCATGAATCGAGTGTAGTGAATTTCCTACAGGATGAAGTTTGATTTTATCTGTTCATTGAGGAGACCGAACCTAAGAGGCTGTATAGCTTACAAGAGAAAAATATTATGAGCTGTCACAAGTGGTGATCTTAGAATTGCACATTCACTGAGTATTTATGATAGATCTAAGTGAATAATGTGAGTTTAGATGCTAATTTACCGAAAACAAAATAGTCCCGATAATGACACGTGAATTTGTCATGTAGGAGTCTGGATTTTACCATATTCTACAGAATTTTAACCCTCACAGTATGTGGATTTTGTTTTGACAGGATTTGATCAGGATGTAGACCAGGTTGGTAGACTTGACTTCCAATCAGGTGGGAAGCTTTGTTGCAGTGAACCTATTGTTTAGGCTTCCGTCAGCTACCTCAAAAAGTAACAAACTTTTTTTTTAAATGTCTTAATGCTTATTTAGTCAACAGCTTTCAAATATTATATTATTCTCCTAGATATATCTAGCATACCTACTGGAAAAAATTACCATCCACTGTGTTAGCACATTTTAATAATTTAAATGGTGAGATTGTGAATGCAGAGAAGTAATCTTGAAAAGGGATGGATCCTGGTGTGAATGTGGTTATACTAAGTGTCCATTATAACCGTAATTCTCATCAGTCTTATTTGCTGTTGAGGTTTAGAATTCTTTGTGATTGATAACCATTAATTAGATATATGTGCCATGTGCTATTCAGTGGCAAATGATGAAAAACAATTGTAAATAATATATGTGCACGTGAGGTAAAGCAGTGCGCCAAATGCTAATCCTAAAGGGTAAATATCATTACATGCCAGCTGTCTTTTTCTTATTCCTTTACGTGCAATGGATTTTGAGAACTCAACGTTAACACAGAAATATTAACAGTGACCATCAGATGGCAGTATACTCATTTAAACCGTATCATAGTGTATGCTTTTCATCCCTATTGTTGATAATCAAGTAGAGGTTTTGACATTGTGGCAAGTATTTAACCTTTTATTCCTTGCATGCAAAATTCAATCAAATATTGCAGGAAATTTGCAAAATAATACTTCATAAAAGTCTGCTTGCTTGTAGTACATGTTACTTTCTTGTTCATAAAGTCAGATTTAATAGATTCCCATGCCACTGTAACTAGATACAGTAGTCAGCAAAAACATACTCTCTTCTAAAAATATAGCCATTTTTTGCCAATACATTTGATTCCCAATTTCAGTAACTACCACCATCATCCAGGAAACATCATTTGGAGTTCAGAAAATAATTCAGCTCCATTACTTCAGATTGGTCATTTTAGTACTAGCTCCTTCAAATTCTTGTATTTACCTACAGTTGGTAGATCAGAGTCTCCAATGCACAGAGCCAAAGAGTTGTACAGCACAGAAACCATTTATGTGCATTTGGTCCATATCCTTCTCAAGTTTCCCTATTCAAGTACCTGTCTAACTGTCCTTTAACTGTTATGATTGTACCTGCATCTACCACTTCCTCTGGCTGCTCATTCCATACATGCACCACTCTCTGTGTGAAAAAAGTTGCCCCTCAGGTCTCTTTTAAATCTTTCCCATCCCACCTTAAACCATATGCCCTCTAGTTTTGGACTCCTCCTCCCTAGGGAAAAGACCTTGCCTATGCATCTTATAAATCTTAATAAGGGCACCTCTCAACCTTCAATGCTCCAGGCAAAAAAGTCCCAGCCTATCCAGTCTCTCCTCATAATGCCAACTCACAAGTCTTGGCAACATCCTTGTAATTTTTCTGCATCCTTTCTAGTCGAGTCATACAGCACGGAAACAACCCTTCGGTCTAACCAGTCCATGCTAAATTTAATCCCAAACTAAACTAGTCCCACCTGCCTGATCCTGGCCCATATCCCTCCAAACCTTCCAATTCAGGTACTTATCCAAATATCTTTTAAATGCTGTAATTGTACCTACATCCTCCACTTCCTCAGGAAGTTCATTTACACGCAAACCACCCTCTGTGTAAAACATTTGCCCCTCATGTCTTTTTTAAATCTCTCTCCTCTCATCTTAAAAATGTGACCCCCTAAACTGGAAATCCTCCATCCTAGGGAAAAGTTTAACAACACCCT